AAATAATGCTTCGAATTTGCCAATTGAAATGCACGAAATAACAACACACTTCAGGACTTTGAAATGTCTTCCTCGTTGATGCTAGAGTTTTTCTTAGACTGGAAAATCACCCAGCTGTAATGCTAATGCAATTAATGCTCTATTCACTGAGAAGGACAAAAACACTCACACACAGATGCACACACGTACACAGAAGAAATGGAAAAGTTTTTCTCCCTTTCATCATTTGCAACGTGCAAGATGGAGACACAAAATGAGGGGGTACGGGATGTGAGTGAATCCAAATGCCGACATGTCGTTCCATTTTGTTCTTTCCCCCAAGAATTATTTATTTTCTTTGCCTTCTCTTTGTATGATGGACAGAGAGAGGGGGGAAAATGAGAGGAGGAGACAGGCACACGAGCTGCCTCATGCTCAGTCACGCGGTAGCCCTTACGCCTGCGCCTCCTGGTACCACACACTCACACTCAGACTTCGCACACACTTGCATGGGCTGCGGCAATATTTCTGTTCAGATAGTAAGTTTTTTTTTTCACTTTGAATTCAAAAAATCTGAATGAATTAAAATGTTTGGTTTTTTAAAAACATTTTATGGTTATTTTTCCCAGTCTGGTCGTGTATAAACATGCATGTGTGCCATGTAGAAGATTTTCTGGTTGGGAGGGGTAATGATGCGTTTGCAGTGTGTGGGAGAAAGAAAACTCGCAGTGAATTACATGCAGACAGCTTAATGCCATGGCAGTTACTCGATGTATACTCAATGGTTACGATAAAGCCGTTTTAACCATCGTACATGGAAAAACTCGTGAGGCATCAAGTACATTTGATATATCGCCCATCCCTAGAACAATGTGTTTTGGACAAACGAGAACAAAGTGGAGATGCTGGTCATGATGCACAGTGCCATGTTTGTCAAGACCAAACACAGGCAATGAGCACGGTGGTGGAGGGCTGATGATTTAGGGGTGTTTTGCAGATTCAGGTCCTAGGCAACCTGCGGTCATTGAATCAACCATTAACTCCTCTGTATACCAAAGTATTCTAGAGAATCTTTCTGACAGCTAAAGCTTGGTCCACAGTGGGTCAAGCAATAGGATAATGATCCTAAGCACAGCAGCAAACCTACAACAGAATGGTTGAAAAAGGTGTAACGGCCCAAAGTCCAAAACTTAACTTGATTAAAATGCTATAACAGGACCTTAAGAGAGCTATGCATAAATAAATGCCTGCAAATCTCAATGAACCAAGCCTAAAATTTATCCACAGCAATATGAGACACTGAAAAGGTCATATGGAAACCGTTACTTTTAGTTGTTGCTAGTAGGAGGCTCTACAAGCTAGTGAATCCCGGGGTGTACTTAGAGTTTGTATTAAAATAATTGTAAATTTTGTGAGGACTAGATGGATTTTTACCATATTCTGACTAATAAAACCCCAGACTTGACAGAGGGTTTACTTTACCATGACTGTAGATCTTTAAACATCTTTAATTATTTCAAAATGTACCTTTTTACTCCAACGTGGACATAACTGTGATGCTTTATTGCGAAAACCATTTTTCTTATGCATAATTTTGTGTGTGTGTTCTTTTTT